CTCTGAAAAGAAAAGCTATTGGCATTTACAAAAGCTATCTTTATTCACAAGTCAAGCAAATCATATTAGCAGATTGTGTAGTAGGAAAGCATCCGCCATGTACACTCCAAAACTGTTGTCTTTCCAGACAGGGCTTCTTTGACTGACCGTTAAGGGTCACATGACCGACCAAACGTGATGTATACTAATTGAGGTGGAAGAAAACGAAATGCTAACCCAACCAAGGTTCTTTGTTATTTACCTATATCTGGTCGGAAAAACTGGTGGATTTTCAAAACGTTTTATACTGATATGAATATTAACTTCCTCTCTTGGAGTTTGAACCCGGCTCGTCGGTTCCATTTCCAACTTCTAGTTCACCTTCAACTCTATTTATATGACTGCAATAATTATTAACTCTTGTTGCTGGGTAATCCCTAGTGACTTGTTCAACATAACATGCTCGTGTCCTTGTGCCAGACTAAACAAAACATATCGTATATATTATAAATTATAACCATTGCATCATTCATAACAAATTTCAAATATTGTAATAATAATTATAAATATGAGTGCAGGTCATTATTTGAAGAAGTAAGGGGGTAGTAATAATTATATCATTTAAACTGAGACGTACTTTTTCCATTTCACTGAAGCAGACTTTAAACACATGAGAGTATTATCACATCATTTTTCTTTATCTGTCTATATTTCTGAGATGAGATATTATACACACTATTTGTTATTATTAGTTCCACGTGCCATGTTTAATGGATGTCAGTTATCAGTTATCTCCTGTTAATTCCCCTCTGAAAGTTCTGCACTGCCTTAGCCGAGTATTGAACTCACACTCTTTGGGTCCTGTCACTGGATCTAACAAACGGTGGTTAAAGGCGTTGGTTAAGGCAGTGGAGAAAAATTTTTAAAATTAACAGGAGATAACTGATAACTGACATCCATTAAATATAACGTTTTTTTCATTCAATCTACCCCAGTGAGCGAAATAAAAGGTTCCGTTCGATATTCCAACCACCTGAAGAAGACCGGAGCGTACAACGGCCGAAACGTTGTGATAAATATGGCGACAAAGATGAGGACAATAGTCCGTATAATGTAAATAACGTATTACCCTTTGTATTGCTAATGATGGAGGACAGGTGGAAACTTAAATAAAATTTCAATAAAATATAGATGTCCTTCTTTCTAATCCTTTTTACGAATTATTTCTATCGCAAATACAAATAAAGTTATTATTTTTTTAAAGTGCACGAACCTCATGGACACCCTGTATTAGTTTATTGCACGCCACTCCCATTGTTAAGGAAGGTGAGGTTGATAGTGGGGAGAGATGTTAGGGTCTCTTCATATAGATAAAACGTTTTTTTTAAACGTTTTTTAATGTACACGTTAAAAACATTAAAATATGTCGGATTCAATGAATATCCATATATATATATATATATATATATATATATATATATATATATATATATATATATATATATATAAAAATGTCTTCTTTTTCTTTCTTTCTTTCTTTCTTTAGCCAGTGTCTGTCATTTCCGGCTTTCTTCTCTACGAAAAATGAATAATCCATTATATATGGGGTATTGGCAAGACATACCGTACAAATTAACAAAGGAATAAAGAAAATCATAATATGACTATTAGAGTGAAGTTTTAAAAATTGGTTGATAGATATGTTTGTTTAACGACACATAATCTCTTTATGGGTCATATAATGCCGAAATTACATTTTCTTGGGCGCTTTGAAATAATAAAAAAATATATGTTATTCTGCTTTCACAAGTGAATACATGGTAGATGATACTCAGCTTTTGTGCATATACATATTTGTGTGGACATAATTACTAGAGGCGGTGATATGTGTGTGTTTTATGTTATAGTTTTGTTGAAGTTATATTTTGGAATACAATTTGATTTCTTTAAGAAATTGTAGGACATTATATGGATTAATGTCGTGAAAGACTTCTTTCATATTTGGTTATTTAGGTGATTCATATCAACCTCTAGGGGTTATTTCATTCTGAAATCTATTTTGAACGCAATTCTATGCCTTCAACTATAGAAAAAAGGTTTTGTTGGTCATTGGACTATAAAATGTATTGTTGGTCATCATAAATACGTATTGTTACTAATTTTTTATATAAATGAATTGCTAGTATTTTTACTATAAAAATGATTTTTATAATTTCATAGTATGTGTTTTCATTTGTTAATTTATTTATTTTTTGTTTGGGGTGGGGTCACTCTTTACCCATAGCTGGGACCCTAACAGGCGCTACTACATCGGGTCAGAGTGAACCTGAGAACAAGCATTTAAGAGGTGGTTCTACACTTCTCAAAACCTCTAATTTCCCAATCAGTGGCCTTGCTGTCGGATGTAATTTATAAATTTAAGTAATACGACCCATGATATTACAGATGGCAAAATCATAATTTCGGAATTGATTAAAACTCTGCACTTTTATTATTTGTTTATCTTTTAGATGCGGTTAATCAAATTGGAAATAAAATAACTAACACATTCTTTTTTTTTGTGACTTTTCTCATTACTGAAGGTTTTGAAAAACGTGTCAGTGAAATATTGGATTTCCACACGTCAATTTAAGGAAAAGAAAGGATTTTTTTTAAATCTCATGGTTGTGTTTCTATGCGAGCAAGTGTTGCAATTATTTCTCTAAACAGTAGCAAATAATTAATGCTTGTTAATGAGAACATCGGAAAAAGAACTTTTTTTAGATCCCGTGAAGAATCCGTAGATACGGAGCAGAAGCATCAGACAAGAATGGTAGCAATATGCAATGCATGAGAGATTTGCAGATTTATAATGATGCAAGAACGATTCAGCGTGAATCAACTTTCCTGGCAACAGACCTAGCATTTGTTTCACTTCATATTAGTAGAGAACAAAATTGGTCATTCTACTACTGTAAGTTAACCTCAGCCATGCTGACAGAAGGCAAAAAGTTTTGTTTTGGAGGAGTTAAAATTAACAATCCATTTTTTCCCTAGTTAGCAACAGATTGAAGGTCATTTTTGAGATTGGTAATTTGACCATGGCAATAAACTACATCCGCGTCCTGGGTAAGATGATAAACTACGTCCAACAGCAAGGCCTCTGATCAGTAGGTTTTGAAGAGCGTTGAACCACCTCTTAACTGCTAGGGTTCCCAGGTCCACCCAGACTCAGGGTGGTAGCACCTGTTTGGGTCCCTGCTATGGGCAAATAGTTAACCCTAAAAACACCATGCAAGTGTAAAAATAGGTTTTAATAACAGTAATACATTTTTGTAAAAAAATTGTTGCCAGCAATGAATTTTTGAAATAAAATTATTACGAGCAATGTATTATTACCAGAAATACACTTTGGGGAAAATATTACCAGCAATACATTTTTGAAAAAAAAAATATTAGCAGCAATAAAAATCTTGTCGGCATTAAATAATAATGAGGTTGATATACCGTAAAACAAAACAAAACAAATCAAACTAAACCAAACCAAACTTATCAGATTTATCATTAAGACAAGAGTTGTGCCATCAAAGATACCGAGTCGAAACCTGATGGCATCGGGGAGGTTATTAATAAAAAGTAAGAACATCGTATGTCAAAGGATAGACGCCCGCATTAATGCAAAAAGATCTAGAAGAGTGGCCGTTCAAGACAACATTCATTTCGCGGCTTGATAACAAAGATTAATCGAATAAAAAATTCCACCAGAAACACCCTAACCCTTCAACTTGTGAAAAGTCACAGCATGTCCAACTCTGTTCAACACCTGTGAGAGGAAACAACCGGAGCTTCAACCTTCTTATCTAAAACTTCACAGACACTTTCAGCAATAATCGTTAATACATTGGCAGTTGGCTAGAGAAGCGAAAGCCATATGGCTTGTCAGAAATATGAGCCCACGATGTGAGATGCTTAACCAGTTCTGAATTGATTAAATCTTATAGGACAGAATGAGTCATTCTACTGGAGATTAGCATCAGCCATATTTATGGAAGGCAAAAACAAGTTCAGTTTCGTTTTGAAGGCGTTAAAATTTACAATCCATTTTTCCCTATGTAGCAACAGATTGAGGGTCATTTTTTGAGATCAGCTGTTGATTTGACCTTATCAAACCTGTCAGATTAGACAAGAGAAATAGTTGTGGCATCATCAAAAATAATCGTGTCGAGATCTACTGACAGCGGGTAGGCTATAAATAAAAATTAAAAACAACGTAAGTCTAAGGATAGACAAACGAATTAATGTAAAAAGATCTTGAGGAATGGTCGTTCAAGACAACATTAATTTCGCGACTTGATAAGAAAGATTGAATGAAATAAAAAATTTCACCAGAATCACCATTCAACCTGGGAAGTACCCCAGCATGCCAAACTCTGTTCAACGCTTACAGCAGCAACCCAAGCTTCACCATTCTTATCTGAATCTTCACAGACTGTTTCTGAAATAATCTTTAATACATCAGCAGTTGGCCTAAAGAAGCGAAAGTAATATTGCTTGTCTGAAATATAAGCCTGCGATGTGAGACGCTTAAACAGTTCAGAATTGATTAGACCTTCCATAACTTTGTCAGAGGAAGGTAAAATAATAGTTCCTTTGTTCAAGGGATCAAATGGTTCAACCACGTTCTTTAAAAAAGTGGCTTCTTCCCACGAACCGCTATTTTGTGTAGCCGCTTCCCAAGACAATCCTTCCCCAGTGACAATCTGAAAACTATTGTCTGCCCCACATATACGTATAAACTCAGTCTCTTATCTCTTACATTGAATCCTCTACCTCAAGTGGCTCTTAGGCTTTCTACAGGGAACATATTATTCTAAAAAATTGTATGTATGTATTTGAATTGTATGTATGTATTTGAATTTCCTTTGATGCAATTTAAAACTGCAACTGATTTTTTTTTAGTTGTTATATTGAAGGGTTAAGATATGTTGTATCTTTACAAGATTCATTTGGATTGAGAACGATCAACAAAAAATATCTGCATATCAGATGACGCTGATTGAACTGAGAGTGACTGGAGTCGATAAGTGGATGATGTTTTCTCTGATTTCCATAGATGTGATTATTCTAATAGATAGATAATGAATAGAGTAAGATAGATAGATAGATAGATAGATAGATAGATAGATAGATCTGAACAGACAAGGATAGATAGATAGATAGATAGATAGATAGATAGATAGATAGATAGATAGTGATATGTCCCGGAAATGAATATATTTGAACGAAGTAGCTAAGTGGTTTTGGCTACTATAACCAAGTAGAATACGGTAGCAGTAATCGACCCATACGTGTCTAAAACAGATGGATAGTGAGATAATGAACAAACTTAGATAGATAGATAGATAGATAGATAGATAGATAGATAGATAGATAGATTTTATAGATAGATAGTGATATGTCCCGGAAATGAATATATTTGAACTTAGTAAAAGGGTTTGGCTACTATAATTTCAATAGAATACTTTTAGATAATCGAATGATACGTGTCTAAAACAGATGATAGAGATAATGAACAAACAGACTGATAATACATTTTAATGAATTTAGATAGATAGATAGAAACTGGATGGATAGATAATGAAATACATAGATAGATGGATGGATAGAAATAGATGAAATAGATAGATAGATAGATAGATAGATAGATAGATAATGAACAGACTGAAATAAATAGATAGATAGATAGAGAGATAGATGAATACGCTGCGCTAGATAGATATATAGATAGTTATCGACAGACAGCTCTAGATAGATAGATAGATAGATAGAAATACAAAATCTAACCAAATCATTAAATAAGAAAAAATTTGAAATCGTTTATGAATTTAACATATTTCGCTTTTATTTTATCTTCATTAGAAAGTTTTTGCAAATGGGTTACGAAAGAGAATATATAGGCAATTTATATTTGTTTCCATTGGTCACATAAATGTCACGTGTTTGCGTCGTATGTGAGTGTGTGTATGTGGGTGTCTGTTAAAAATATACTGAGATAGATTTACATCACTCTCACCATATATACCATTTGATCGAAACTCCGAGTCAAGATGAAATTTGGCGATTTTATCAAAACAGTAGTGTCTTCCTTTGATGCAATTTAAAACTGCAACTGATTTTTCTAGAATTTAAATTCATTTTAAACTCGCTGCCACCACATTCAACCATCCAGCAGTTGATGGGCTGAGCGAAGGAGGGGGGAAGAGGAACTTTTTCAGTGAAATCTTCTGCTAATATCGATCTGTTGATTACCAGAAATTCGCGATCCAATTATAATGTTCTTTTTTGTTGTTTCGCTTTTTCGAAATTTCTTTGACGTTTTTTGCAAAATACAGATTCGGAATTGTAGGATTGTGGAAAAAGAAACAAAAAATAAATAAAATAAAAGTAAATGCTGATGCTACCAGCATTAATTCGCAATCATAGCTCGTCGGATTTCGTTACCGCAAATTTTTCATATATTTGGTTTTGTTGCAATTTTTTCGGCGTTGCAATTTATCATCGCTAAATCAAACTCAAGCAAAATCCACCTATAACTACGAAATAACTTTGTGAGAGAAAAATTCTGATATATATGTATATATACATACATACATATATATATATATATATATATATATATATATATATATATATATATATATATATATACAGTGTAATTAATTAATTTGTTACAAAAAAGTTTGTTTTTAAAAGGCAATTTGCAAATGCTGAAAATTTGAAAATCGCTGTCCCGAGTAATTCGTTCTTCATTTCAACCTACTGGGTGGGTCTTGTCACCCCAGTGCATAATATAACTTTCTATTTCAGATGGCTGACACAAGCTTTATTTTTATTATAGAAATAATCTATCAAAAATGTTATAAAGTTTACTGTACCTAGCTTTACGTATAGCTAAAATAACTAATGTGATTTCAGGCATTACTGTAAATCAGTTGGCAAATGTTTTCCGTGAATTGCAAAATCGTATTACCCTTTAGAGTCTGTCTATATTTCTGAGATGAAGAATTATGTACATTATTCGGACTATTGTCCTCATCTTTGTCGCCATATTTATCACAACGTTTCGGTCGTTGTACGCTCCGGCCTTCTTCAGGTGGTTGGAATGTCGAACTGAACCCTTTATTTCGCTCTATGGGGTAGACTGTTCTAGTTCCACGTGCCATGTTTGATGGATGTCAGTTATCAGTTATCTCCTGTTAATTTCCCTATGAAAGTTCTCCACTGCCTTAACCGGGTATTGAACTCACACTATTTGGGTCCTGTCACTGGACCTAACCAACGCCTTTATCCTGTGTCATGTGTCCTTGAGGACCCATCTGGGTATGAATTTCTGGGTATTATAAACCTAATGTCATCAGCAACCATTTTTACCAGTGCTCATATTGCAATTTTTGCTGCTATCAGTACATGTTTTTACCAGAGCTCATATTGCAACTATGTTGTTATCATTGCTTTTCTCTGGCACTCCTTATTACTGGTTCCCATATTGTATTTATTTCTATGCTTGGTCGGCTCAGGAGATTTTTGTGGCCTAGCATATGTGCTGACTCCTTAAGTTTACGAATTTTCCAATGGTGTTCCTTGTCAATGATCTCAACATGATCCCACAGAGGGCGGTGATCTCCCTTCTCTCTCCATATGTGGTCAGCCACGCCTGATTTTTCAACTTCCCCTCGTGTTAGAGCTTTCTGGTGTTCTTGAGGCCTTACCTTGAGGGGGCGGCCTGTCTCTCCTTTATATTCCTTTCCGCAGCTGCATGGGATAAATAAATGGTTCAGTTCGACATTCCAACAACCTGAAGAAGCGTTGTGATAAATATGGCGACAAAGATGAGGACAATAGTCCGTATAATGTAAATAACGTATTACCCTTTGTATTGCTAATGATGGAGGACAGGTGGAAACTTAAATAAAATTTCAATAAAATATAGATGTCCTTCTTTCTAATCCTTTTTACGAATTATTTCTATCGCAAATACAAATAAAGTTATTATTTTTTTAAAGTGCACACGAACCTCATGGACACCCTGTATTAGTTTATTGCACGCCACTCCCATTGTTAAGGAAGGTGAGGTTGATAGTGGGGGAGAGATGTTAGGGTCTCTTCATATAGATAAAACGTTATTTTGTTTAAACGTTATTTTTAATGTACACTCTCAATACATTAAAATATGTCGGATTAATAAATGAATATCCATATATATATATATATATATATATATATATATATATATATATATATATATATAAATATATATTGAAATGGATTAAGTCAATTTTCAAATATTTAATATATTTTTTCTATTTTACTTTATTTTTATAGATATAATTTATTTAAGGAAATGCTCTGTTCTTTAATTAAACATTATTAATTACATTTTCCGATTTAAATTTTCGAGAAATTTCGTAGAAAATATGCGTCCTCCGACAGAAATCGATCCTCTAACTCTTATAGGGGGCGTCATTCGATCTGACGTGCTGTTAACCATTCAGCCACAAAGAAGCTTCTGGCTTGCAAAGTACGATTTAAGCCAGTCAGATCAAATGATAGTTCCTCATAAAGGTTAGAGGTTCGATTCCTGCCGGAGAACCACATATTTTCTACGAAATTCTAGAACATTCAGGCCGGTAAATGTAATACTGTTTAAAAAAAGCAGAAAACAGAGCATTTACTTAAATAAATTATATCTATAAAAAAAATAAAAATAACGTATAAACAGAATATATATATATATATATATATATATATATATATATATATATATTGTCGGATAGCGCATTGGAATGACAAATCCGAGAGCTAAGTTTGAATTCCAGTTGAGTTTGTTAGATTCGCTTATTTGCAAATGCCCTTGGTAAAGGTATGAACCCATCTTTACGTTTCCCCCTAGCTACGGGTTAAATAAGAGGGTAGACTAAGCTCTTTAGTTGTCAACCAGCTTAGGAAAACGATGGATATTAAAAGTTGAGAAGGGTCGTTTGAAGTCCTCATGGCACACTACTGTGCTCCAGATGCATTTGCTTGTTCTGTGTGGTTGGTTCTGCACAACTCTTCACCATTATAATCGAATTATAACTACGCCTGATATGGCTGTTCGTTTCTGAGAGACCGAACTGCTTCCCCTGCAAGCGTCTCAAGAGTTCATCATATATTTCTATTTATCATTTTTTTCCTTAGTTGCTACACGTGTTTATTTTAAACAGAGTGAATCGCCTTGTGCAAGCGATAGTTCTTAATAAATAAAATGTGCCCCAGCAGGATTGGAACCTGCGCCCCTCTTTGTAAGAGAAAGGGAATATAGAAGCTTGTTGGGCTTTGAGGCTCCCGTTGACTGAGTGCACTAAAACACGTCGGATCAAACGATGATCTGAAGTCATAAAAATGCCGGATTAAAAATAAATCCATTAATTCTTTATAAATTGGTGTATGGATCGGTTAAAACAAATTTAGAATATGAGGTTAGGAAAATGAGGATAGAAGAGGTTGAGCTGCACCTCAAATAGTTGTAAAACCAAAACATTAAACTGAAAACTCGAACCATGTTCTTAAATAGTCACTCCAGATCGAGACTTTTATATGGATATGTGGTGAACAATTACGTAGAAGTAAGCTTGCATCTGGGGCAAAGAGAAATAAGTTCCTTTACTCAATACACGACACATAGCATCGATAATTTGTTCCTTGAAAATGGCATGTATCTCTCCTCTTCACGTTAGGTTATTCCAAAAATGTAATGGTTAAATAAATTAAATGGTTAAATAAAATTAAAATGTAAATGGTTAAATAAAATTAAAATGTAAATGATTAAATAAATTAAAATTAAATGGTTAAATAAAATTAAATTTAAATGGTTAAACAAAATTAAAATTTAAAAGTTTATATAAAAATAAAATTAAATGGTTAAATAAAATTAAAATTTAAATGGTTAAAATTAAAATTAAATGGTTAAATAAAATTTAAATTTAAATAGTTAAATAAAATTAAAATTAAATTAGAATTTAGATGGTTAAATAAATTAAATGTTGTAATGATGACTTTTGTACAGCTTAGAGTGGTTCGAGCAAGCAAGTCGCGTGCTGATTGGTCGGACTTGACGATGCCATTTGATTGGGTAACTGAGAAATAAGAAGCAAAGAACGCTAATTGGTCAGTTAGCTGTGGTGTTGGGATGATAAAAGACGACTGAAACAGTGTGAAGCAGAACAATTCTTTTACGTTAGTGTCGTGTGTGGGAACTCAAGAATGGCGGATTGAACAAAAAAAGTATTTAGTGTTGTATGAGCGACATCAGAGGGAGACAAACTCATTTACGCTAGAGGATATCATGTAGGCCACCAAATCCGTTCAGAAATATTTAAACGGTCAGCTGTATACAACAGCGTTCTCAGATCAATGGCTAAAAATGACTTTGAGCGAATGAAGCTGATGGATCATGGCGAAGACGACACTTCTTCAAACTCAAAGAATTGTAGCAGATTGGAGAAACTGCATTAATGGAGGAATTTTATAAGCAGTAACATCTAAAATGGATATGTAAACTCGAATAGAAATTAATGACATATGTTGAAATGTTGACATTCACCAGGACTTCATATAAAAGGTTAGGACGGAAACCTCAATCAGTAATGAAAAGAGGGATAACAGCTACTGGACTTAAGAAACCTATATTCCCGATAAATTTCTTTATTAGAATGATTTTACAAATTGCAACTGAAAGTGGCGCTGGCTTATCAATCGACGAATTCCTTAAGGAAACGGCTAATATTACCATTATTATATATATTGGTGTTCTTCTTGTTATATATATATATATATATATATATATATATATATATATATAACAAATAAACAAAAAGTCCAAAATTACCTCATATGTGGAATAGCCTATTTCGGCAGACGATGATATCGGTTGTCTGTCTTATCAAGCCCGGTGTGGACTGATTTCGTGTCAGAAATAGAAAAATAAAATAAAATAAAATCTTGGGTTGGTTTCATATTTGCTGCCGGTTCGAGCAGTAATAAAAAAAGGAATTATTTTAGTGCCTATTTTCCGGAAAGACAGGCCATTCCTTATTTGGACAATAATCAAAGCCGTTTTACAAACACACCTGGGCTTTTGGCACGCATGGTACATCAGCAATACAATTTTGTGATTAGCTAAATATGGTCGCATCAAATCCTTTTCAAATGATTTAATTATAACAAAATTTAGCCGTGTATTTTGTTATGCAGTTATTTTATATGTTTTTTACGCCACACTTATCAGTTTTGTAACAGTCAATGGCTAATTAGAAGAAGACAGGCATGAAAAAAAGCGAATATTGTATCTTAAGAAAGATTTCCAAAGAAACTTTGAGAGCGTTAGAAAATTGGCTGCTGATGGTAGGAGTGGAGAGTGATAACAATTTGAAGATGTGACAAGTTTGATTAGAAAATTCGATTAATTCATGTGTGCTGTTCTGCGGAAAAATTGTAATCGATTTCCTTTTAATAAAGTCCTTATCAATAACATAAATATTTCATCTGACGCTTGCCAATGAGACGAAGTATAAGTTTTTAATAAAACAGAGATAAGGAATTTTTTTCCTATTGTTCTTAGTCATAAAATAGTTTCCAAATTTGATATTATGAAAGTTGTCGAAAAAATATCAATATTTTGACAAACTTTTTAAACACGAGATATATAACTACATTAAAACTAAAAGAATGTTTTAAATAATTTTTCTATCATTTTCAGATGATTCATTATCATTAAAAGAGTTGTCCGGACTATTGATATTTTTTTGAAGGGCGGGGTGACATAGCGTGTGTCATTTTGAGAAAACATTATTATTCCAAAAGTTATTCGGATTATTAATTCCATGGTGGAAAGGACCAAAAATAAAAATGACAGAAAAACTTAAATATGACCTGTTCTTCATCTACGAATTTCAAGAAACCTTTTAAAAACATCAAATCTTTGAAAGGATTCGACTAAAATACACATATTTGGTTTTCTGGAAAGTTCCTGACGATTTTTACTCGTTTATATTCCAAGACGTGATGTGATCAAGTAAATGGTTAAAGAAATAACAAAACAAGTGTTACAGATATCTCATATATTAAACAGTAAGTACAAAAGAAGAGTATTACACGGTTAGTGAGTGTATGTCGGTTGATCCAGCGTTCAACCTATTCGACTGTTCACCCAAGGCCTTCTCTCCTACTAATTTTATAGTAGGTGGAAGAGTCTAACATAGATTGTTTAGAGAGGGACACCACGACAATATACTACACAAAAGGGAACAACTTGAACTGCTTGGTAGAGTTTTCACATTTTTCCCTGCCAAATCTTGTTACCTACAGGATGCGATGGGTAAATTGTCACTATTTTATATTTTTAATTTTGAGCATGCGCGTTGTTTGTTTTTGATTTTGTCGATTTAATATCTGTTGTGACCAAGTAAATGGTTAAAGAAACAACAAATGTGTTGCAGATATATCATATATTAAACAGTATGTACAACAGAAGATTATTACACTACTAGTGAGTGTGTGTCGGTTGACCCAGCGTTCAATCTATTCGACTAGCAGCCCCCCCTCCCGCGCACGAGGGTGGATGTGGCACAAGACCGAGTTTAACATGGGTCATCCGTGCCCGTAGGCTCGACAAAAAAAATCCCATAGAACCCACATAAACGGTTTCGGGTCTGTCTACCTCCCCGGACGAGACTCTGCTCTTCGGCACAGCCTCGTCCGGGTTCCTCTCTGCTCAAAGACAGAGAGTTCAACAGCAGCTGCGAAAAGTCACAGCCTCGGTAGAACAATCTATTAGACTGTTAATATTTAAGAGAACCCCACCCACCCACGAGGGATATATGTGGCACAATCTTTCCGGACGAAACTTTGCCCTTCGGCAAAGCCTCGTCCAGGTTTCTCTCTGCTCGAGGCAGAGAGTTCGAGAGATGAACAATTTGGTCGACTCTTCCCCCAAGACCTTCTCTCCTACTAATCTTATAGTAGGCGGAAGAATCCAACATAGACTCAATAGAGGACACCACAACAGTACGTTAGCACATGTCAAATTTATCGACAGATATAATCTGCTTACATTTCCGAGTAGGGCACACTTCAAACTATCATTTGATAAAGAAAGTATAAAATTACTTAATTCATGTCACTTTTGCATTCCTATGAAAATGGAAGATTATATAAGGTGCATTTTAGACACTTGATTTTTTTTTACCTTAAGGGTAAAAAATGCTTCGCAAGCAACAAAAAAGATATGTGCTGTGTATAGTGAAGGTGCTTTAGCTGACAGAACTGTACGAAAATGGTTCGCTAAGTTCAGAGTTGGTGATTGTAGCTTATTGTTGAAGAACGCTCCAGCAGAGCCCTCACTACCACCACAGATGACGACTCAATCAAGATACTGATTGAGAATAATACGCATTACCCAATGCTGGAATTGGCGGAAACACTAAATTTATCAAAATCCACCATCCACGAGTATTTAGTGAAGCTTGGGTACTCAAATCTCTACCATGTTTGATCTGAGTGAAAATAATCTTTTGAATCGCATTTCGTCTGTGATTTGCTGTATAAACACAATGAAAATGCACCTTTTTAAGCAAATTATGACAGGTGATGAGAAATGGATGGTTTACAACAATGTTCAGCGAAAAAAGTTCCTGGGGTAAGTGACATGAGCCAAATTTAGCCATCTCAAATACAGGTCTACATCCTAAGAAAGTCATGCTGTGCATCTGGTGGGATTGGAAAGGAATCCTCCTGCTATGTCAAGTAACCATTCAAATGATTCTAAAAAGTACTGCTCGCAACTGGACAAATTAAAGGCAGCAATTCAAGAAAAACGTCCAGGATTGGCGAACAGGAAATGGATAGTGCCAACACTTAAGTTTCTTTTACGACCCGGGAAAATTGTTGCGGCTTGGCGGGGGGTGGGTGTGTTACCCCCACCTGTCATATTCACCAGACATTGTTCCGGATTTTCATTTATTCAGCTCCTTGCAAAATCTCAATGGTAAAAATTTTAATTCTTTGGATGACATAAAAAATGCACATTTAATATGTTCTTTGTCGAGAAACCACCAAAATCCTGGGAAAATGGAATTTTAAGTTGAAGAGAAAATGGAGAAAGGTCGTGCAATAAAATGGTTTCTATTTAGTTGAATAAATTATTCAATGTCATCATTTTGTTTTATGTTTTAATCTCCCTTAAAAGTCGGTATGAACTTTCCAGTCAACCCAATAGAAGTTTAAATTTAGATTCTTCGTCAAATTTTCCATTGTCTTCTATTGATTGATTCGTTTCTACGGATTCGTAGGTTATTTAAATGCAGAATTTTTTTTTTAGATTATAAGAATATTTAGTGGATAGATAATAATTGTAAATTGATACATGTCTTACTAATTAACCCATAGTTGGGGGCAGAAGAGGTGGAGTCATGTCTTTCCCAATGGTATTTGTGCGTAAGTGAATATAACGAACCCAACGGGAATTGAAACTCGGTCCACCGATTAACAATTCCGAACCATTATCTATTACACCACCTGCACATCCAAGCTCACAACACCTGGTATTCCCAAGCAGTCCCCCATCTAGGAATTGATCGGGCTCGATGTTGCTTAACTTCGGTGATCTTAACGGGAACCGGGGCTTCAACGTGATATGGCCGTAAGTCCATTACTCTAATGTCACATTAAAGCTCCTGGTATTCCACTATAGGTACTGACCAAACTCGGCGTTGCTTAACTTCGGCCAAGCCCCATATTTTTAAATCCTTTATTTTAACTCCCACGTGCCTGATTTGTCAATTTTTGTTTCGGCCTGAATTTCTGGGATGAACTTTTACTATTTTCCTCATCTCTGTTGTTATTATCAGAACGTTTCAGGCCGTTGTTTCCTCAGGACTTCTTCAGGACTTCTTCAAGTTATCGATGCGGACAACCGTTTACTTAGTCTACGGTGGTAGATTGTTCTCGTTCCGCTGTCCATAACTAGGGGAGGTAACTCGTCTTATTCTCCGTGGAGTACTGACCAGTTATTCATCGTTGTTTTCCTACTAAGTCTAAATCTGTAATATCAGGTACAGGAATTGAATTCACACTTACTATGGCCCCAAATTCCCGAATAAACTAATCTAGCTCGATGGAATAGAAAACACACTTGTAGCATTCAACACCTCCAAAACCAAATTACACCCTTGTGCAAATTAATAAAACAACCGCTTTAGTTATCTTTCTTTCACCATGCGATCAGTTTTATACCCACTGGAGTGACAGGATGTAATCAATTTCTATTTTTTCGTCAGATTAGGTCATTTACAGTGGTGTTCAGTAATATGAACCTATTTTCGGGGTGTATGATGAAATTTGTTTGGCCTTGAAAAATATTGCGTCATCCATGATTGCATCAGATTTTTATCACGCCCCAACACCATTGTCTCAACTGTCGATTAGTTGTCCTACGACCATTGTCTGCGATGGACGTTACTCCAAGGAAGCGTACGAAAATTATAACGCTGCACGAACACACTGGCAAGCCTTACCAATGAGCAAATCAAAGTACTATAGACTGGCTCAAAAATTTTCCTGATTTAAATCCAATCGAGAATCTGTGTTCAATCTGCAAGGAACGACTTCGTGGAACGGACATACGAATTACTAACATGTGCACTCGGTCATGTTTCATAGGAAAAATACGAAAAAAACTAAATAATAACGGAATTATTCATTTTGTTTCAATTAATTTGCACAAGGGTGTAGTTGCGTTTCGCCACGCCATGATCCAACAGACCCTGAATTTTCGCCTATCATAATGAATGGTTATTCTATAAAAGAGTCTCTTTGCTTTGAACGCATAAAGCTCGTGGTATGCGACGATCTCTCGCTAAAGATTTTGCAATATTGTGCCATCAGTTTTTTGTTTTTTTTACTGTCACCAGCAAACTCTTTGAGCCTCTGATCAACAAGAAGGCTGTTGATTACTTTAACAGAAGAAACCATCTAAGCGACAAACAGTACAGATTTTGGCATTGTAAGTCCATTGCTGATGTCTTATCACGAGACGATGAATTCATCACAGGCGCGATTGCTTTAGATAATATCAAATATCCCTGACAAGTTGCTACACAGGCACTACGACTATAGAATATTTGGGAGAATTTTGTCAAGTATCATGTTCTGAAACCCATGAGATCAACGCAGACATTCTACAAGTCTTGCGATTTAGAGCTCTACGTTACGATTTGACTCGATTGCGGTGTTGTTTTTCCTCCTTCTTAGGGAATACAGAAAACTGAACATATTCCTTTCAATACAAGGCCCAAGAGGGATACTGACTGAGGTTGTTGCTCTTAATAGGAGGGGGTAAGAAGTGAAGTCTAAGAGGATATGTATAAAAGATAACCACAGACTTGAAGAAGTTAAGATTCTAATGGTTGGGGAAGCAATTTCCACAAAGCAACGGTTCTCAGTATTGCGACACCAGTTTCTTTAGTGTCATCAGCAAACTGTTAAATCTTTGATCATCAAAAAGGCTGTTGATTACTCCAACAGGAACAACATCCTAAGCGACAAACAGTATGGATTTTGGTATTCTGGGTCCACTGCTGATATCCTATCAATACACACATAATTCTGAATTATCAAATCATTTCTTATGAAGGTCGTTGCTGGATGGTCAATCTTCTGAAGATCACGTGATCAATGTAGGCGTTCTCCAAGGCTACCTTCTGCTTTATAATAACGATCTCAAATCTCTAGTAAATATCAATGGAGACGACGCACCTCCAAAAATATAGATTCCCAGAAGTTGGTAGCTTTTCTGATTCTATCCCTAACAGCACAATAAAGAATGAGGGACTCGGCTGTAACATTCAATGTCTCCAAAACCAAACTACTAGCGTTCCATCACCACCGGGCAGATCCTGAATTTTCGCTCTCTCATGATGAACGGTTGTTCTTTAAAAGAGTATGCCTAGCTTTAAACGTCACTGAAGATTTTGGCAAAATGTTGGATTCCTTGTACCGTTCCAGAAAGTACCTGACTCTCTCTGTCATGCACTTTCTTTACAAGAGGCTAAAAATGAGGTACAGTGATGGATTATCTTCCACTCTGCGATTTCTTTCTTACAGACGAAACGTTGCAAGATTATCGCTACTCTCTCGCTATTTCCATAGCAAATCTTGTGACCGTCCTGGATATGCAGATAAACTAAATCCGCGTCCTGGGTAGGATGATAAACTACATCCGACGGCATGGCCTTTGATCAGGAGGTTTTGAGGAGCGTGGAACCACCTCTTAGTTGCTGGTGTTCCCCGGTCCACCTTGGGATAGTAGCACCTGTCAGGGTCCCAGCTATGAGCAAGTGGTTAGCCCCCCGCCCCAAGGGTGTCTCAAAGCATTGTGAAAGTATAAAAATAGGTTTTAATACCAGCAATATGTTTTTGTAAAAAAAAAAATAGTTACCCACCCACCAAACTGGGGTCAACAAACTATAAATGTGTAGAAATAGGTTTTAATACCAACAATACGTTTTTGTAAAGAAATTAGCAGCAATAAACTTTTGAAGAAAAAATTATTACCAGTAATACATTATTACCAGCAATAGATTTTTGAAAAAAAATGTTACCAGCAATATATTTTTTGAAAAAAAAATATTACCAGCAATAAAAATCTTGTCGACATTAAATAACCCATTGAGGTGTTGATATACCGTAAAACAAACCAAACAACAGCGTTTAAGTCTGGTGAGCGCAGAGGTTAGTGTATTTCGCAACTACCCGACACAGTCACTTGTGGCACAAGGCCGAATTTAACATGGGTTATCTGTAAAAAAAAAAAAAAAAATTCCCCGTAGACACCATAAAAAACGGGGGCCGGGTCGGTCTACCACCCCAGAGGAGACTCTGCCTTTCGGCATAGTCTCGTCTGGGTTCCTCTCTCCCAAAAGGCAGAGAGTTCAACCGTATAGCTGAAAAGATTTCAGCTAGTCAATATTTTCCAAGCGTAGCTTAGATGTGGCGCAAGGCCGAAAGTATGAAACACCCAGTGAGAATCGAACTCACTACTCAGTTGTAATTGTTCTAGCAAGACAAGCTTGCTAACCATTACAACCGCCTCGAGGTGATCCGAACGTAGTGGTTTGTGAGTTAATTCGAAGTCAGTCATTGTTTTGATAAAACCGGATTCATGTCACTCGAGCATGACAGGGGTGGATGGGTTCCCTTGCTGGAAAAAAGCACTACAGCCAAGAAACCTAGCAAGCATTAAGCAGTGCAAATGGTCTGTAACAAGATCTGTGTGTGTCACATCTGTCAAGATAGTTTAGTTTCACCCGTCACCATCTGCCCGAATGAATTGACCAGATGACACGGCGCCAGTGTTTCACGCTCTAATAGGGATGTTCACCGGACCAGATAAATCGCAGTAATTGATAACATGATGTAAATAATGCTACTATTGTTGATTGATTACTATGGAATCTCGTAGAATGGAGTGCCCACTGTACAGTGTGTTGAGTCATGAGTTCACATGAATACAACCCGTTCTCGGCCCATAAAAATAATAATAAAGATATTCGTCCGAATACGCTATAGAATAGTGAGAAATATCAAGAACCGGGACGAATCTTAAACTTAGATGCCTAACAGAAGGAATTTTCCGAAGCCCATCGAACTTATTAAGAGCCCGCCATTCATTAAATCAGATATTTTCTCAGAGTTCAAACAATGATGAAGAATTATAATCGTTCAATGTCTTGTGATATGCAAGTTTAAATAAAATAAGTAACGTAGTTTGCGTATACCTTTTCTATAAATAATTTCATGGTAATTGTTCTGGTGAACTTTCCTCTTTCATACCTAGACTTCCTGAATTTAAGCGCAGCACTCGATTGGCAGTTAGGTCTCATCATTTTACAGTTGAGAAGGCGAGATTTAACCGTAAGTTCTATGTTAATAGTTTCTTCTACCACACTTGTGGAAATTTCTTCCGGCTTCTTACTTTCAGGTCAACTTTGATATTCAAAACTTTAAATGCAACGTCAATGGCTATCTTCTGTCTTCTTAATTCCTCTTCTTTTATTGTCCATTCCCTTCACTAAAGTCTTCTAATTCTCTTTTACTCTTCTTACTTTCCAGTCAACTTTGATATTCAAAACTTTAAATGCAATGTCAATTGTTATAATCTGTTTCCTTAGTTCCTTTTCTTTTATTAAACTGTCAACTTAATGATGTGTTGTTTTTTCTCAGCTTCCTTCAACACTCAGTAACTCTTTGAGTCTTAGTGTCTCTCTTGCTTTGCTTGGGGTGAAATGATTTTCTTTTTGAAGTTTTTTTTATTTTATGATGCGCGTTGAAAGATTCTATTTTAATGCAGTTTTTAAAAATGTTTTGTCTTATTTATTTCATATATTACTACATTCTATTCTATAATTGCCTTAATTGAAAAAAATATATTACTGTTAAAACAAAAATTTTATCGTCACTCTAGAAGTATTTCTGGTACAACGTCGCGGGGAGGGGGGTCAGGTCATCAGCTATATAACCGGTTCCCCTACCAGGGTATTCTCGTCAGAAACGTAACTAGAAACCCAGAACGATTAAATACAGGAGCTGTCAAAGAGTTGATAAACATTCTTGTACAAACAATGGCCATCCAGCACTAGGGGATAAATTGAGCTTCATAGCTAAGTATGCAGACATTGGAATGAACACGGCGTCAATGGGTGGAGAGCATCAGTTGGAGAGCATCAGCTGGAGGGCATCAGCTGGAGGACGTTGGTTGGAGGGCATCAGTTGGAGGACATCGTTTGGAGGTCATCAGTTGGAGGGCATCGGTTAGAGGACATCGGTTGGAGGGAATCGGTTGGAGGACATTGTTTAGAGGGCATCAGTTGGAGGGCATCGGTTGGAGGACATAGTTTGGATGGCATCAGTTAGAGGGCATCAGTTGGAGGGCATCGGTTGGAGGACATCGGTTGGAGGATATCGTTTGGCAGGTCATCAGATGGAGGGCATCGGTTGGCGGACATCGGTTGGAGGGTATCGGTTAGAGAACATCGTTTAAAGGGCATCAGTTGGAGGGCATCGGTTGGAGGACATAGTTTGAAGGGCATCAGTTAGAGGGCATCGGTTGTTGGATAGAATAAGGCGATTGATATTTTATTTAATTTTTTGGAGATTGTAGGTGTCAAGGAAGCGAGAAACCGGAAGAAGGTTTCACAGGAGAGAAAAGAAACTATCAGAATAGAATTTACGGTTCTATCTCGTTATCTTAAAAGAAAAACGATGAATCGTAATCACCAAAGTTCAGGTACCACAGACGAAAGGCCATTAGAAGAACTGACATGAAAATATTTGGAATAGGCTATTTGTCGTTCCCAGGAAAATAAACACCAAAGCCATTTTGCCGGTAAATATAAATTGTGTTTTAGAACTAAGAATATATATATATATATATGTATAATTCCATCGCTACATAAGAGTTCTAATGTTTCAAAAACAGAAGCTAAAAACTTCAATTTAATTATAGAAATTAAATTAAATTAAATTAAAGTACCTAGTTCTGTTTTATCTTCAAGCGAATTTTGGAATAACTAATTTTGAAATTTACGGAGATTTATAAGCATATGCAGTCGTGATATTAATTTCTATGGAAACAGAGAAAATCATGTTAATAAGGGACGGTAGGGTTCATATTTTTACTCACAACTATTGTATCAACATATTAGTTACTTTCGAAAAGAGGTAAAGTCAAGGTAGCGTAGGGGTGCCTATTTTCAAACGAATGATGACATTCGCTTAACGAAAAAATTATATTAGCTCTACGTGTGTATTGAGCAATGTTTGCGAATTATTAAACTAACGGTTCTTTCCTATTTTTCGATATATTTGCACACACACACACACACACATATATATATATATATATATATATATATATATATATATATATATATATGGATATTACGCCAAAAAGCATGTCAAAATCGTTCCACAATTGCAGACGTGTTTCGATGCGTATCAATGCATCTTATCAGCTGATTGTAATTTTCAATCGCCTGATGAAATTCACTGATATATATATATATATATATATATATATATATATATATATATATATATAGAGAGAGAGAGAGAGAGAGAATTTGAAAGATTTCAATGAACCATTCATGCAAAAAAGTAGATTAGTAAAGTTAATGATATAAAATGGCGAAATCCTTTCATTAAACAAAATTTTAAAGATGCATTAGCCTGCAAGTCACTCGATCAATGTTATGGTCCATGTTTTTAAAAACTACAAGCTATATAAACAAAGGATCCTAACATTCATTGAGTGATTTGTAGGTTAATGCAACTTTAAAATTTTGTTCCTGTAAGGATTTCGCCATTTTATATCATTAACTTCACTAATCTATTTTTGTATGAATGATTCATGCAATACAAATTGAACTGCACCACATATTTCATATATATATATATATATATATTCATATCAGCATTGAGGTTGATATGCCGTAAAACAAAATAAACCAAATATATGTTCATAAAACAAGCAATGGCATGCCTGAATGAAAGTGTATCAATGCAGACGATTGTCGGATATTTTCATCTAGATTGTTATTAAGCTGTGCAACATGTTTATAAAACCTTCGGATTGTTAATGCTACTTTTGTCTGAGCCGTGTAGGTAGGATTTGAACATAGTGGATTCCGTGCTCTGTGACTGTTGTTTTCAATTGATGCATCTGAAATGTATTGTCAAGGGAATTTTACCCAAGGGCAGGTTTTGGATTTGCAGAGACAGTTATGCCTGAAGTGCTTCAAATATTCACAGACTACATTTCTTTTCTGATGATGAATAAATTATTTTAACTTTTTTTTAACAATTGATGGCGAAAAAGATTTTAAATTGTCTTAACAATTTATGGTGGAAATAAATAACTTCTGTGTGTTCTTATTTTTAACATTACCTGCTTTCATAATAATAAGAATGTTTACCGACAAAATAATCTTGGGGTCTATTTTACCGAGGTCGGTAAGATAAGCTTCCAAGCGTGTTTGTCTATTTTACAGGGACCAGCTAAATAGCTTTTTACAAAAGGAAGCCACGATACGGCGGGTGAGGACCAATAACATTACAGTCACTTCTTTGATTTGTCTCGATACATACATACGCATACATACGCATATATATATATATATATATATATATATATATATATATATATATATATATATATATATATATATATATATGAAGAAATATTTTTAAGGTGTGCTATATTTATGGGATAAAGTGCTTAATATCAGAGATAGAGCGTATGTAAATATAAATATAAAATGGACATTGAAGTCAACACTCAGAGGCGACATGCTGTTTAATGATGGATGCAATCGTCAGGCTGGTTGACGATTGCGTGCAGCATGAAACAGCCTGTCGCCTCTGAGTGTTGACTGCAATGTTCACTTTTATATATATATATATATTTGATATGTGTGTGTGTGTGTGTGTGTGTGTGTGTGTGTGTGTGTGTGTGTGTGTATACCAGGTGTAACACCAAAATTTTCAAAATCGTGTAACAGTAAAATTTTCCAATTGTTAGATTAAGTTTTGAACCGTTGTATCTTAGAAATGATTAAAGATATCTTACTGGAATTCTCCAAGGTTGTTATAACACTATTGGACTCTAGTTTGACCAATAAGAATGTATAATTACTCTCCAAGCTTAACAGAAGAATTGCGATGAAATCTGTCATGAACGAAAATGACATGTTCATCATTAATTAATCATAGCTAAGGATTCGAAGCTCATGAAGAATTGAAATAAAAATTATATATATATATATATATATATATATATATATATATATATTATTCCAGGATCATTTTCCAACTTATTCACGATGGTCTTTGCCCTCTCTAACTCCTAAATTTCTGTCCTGGAGTAACAAGATACTCCGTAGCTGATACGGACGATTTCATTTTCAGGTCTTTTTTCACTGCTCTTTGGACTGTCATAGCTGAGACTCCTCTCTCACGTGTCAAACGTCTTATGAACTGAGTTGGATCTTTTCTAATTGATCTCTTTATCTCTAAGTTAAAATGATGATCCCTCTTGCTGTTGCGACCTCCTGATTCAATTTTCCTGCTTACTTTTCCCTCTTTTTTTAAACTTATTTACCGTTCTTTTGATAGTTCTTTAATGGACTTTGAAGATGGAAGCCAGAGTATGAATATTGGTACCATTACCGAAGGCCTGAATAATCTTTATTCTTCTCATCATTTCTCATTTGAGAAGACAGTGAGGCTGAAACAAAATTAGTTTTCGCTGAATTTCTCAAAGTCTTTTTTCAGCGATTCATAAGATAAATGGTCTCAAGATGGCTAAACGTTTTATTTGAAAACCTGGAAAAAAACTCAATTAGTTTAGTGATATTTTTTTATTTTAATTTATTTTATTTCTTTTTATTTCTTTTTTTGAAATTAAACATTTTGTGGGATTTGCCATGCTGTAACACGATTTGAACAATTTTGCCCTTACACCCGATGTGTATCAGGAGCACTAGACCAGATATGGCAGCAATATTTAATACGTAAACGAATGGTAGACATACAGATACAAGATGTATCCGGAGCGAAGACTTTTGTCTCATGATACAGTTAACCAACTGTATCAGACCAAGCAATTGAGTCAATCATTTCAGTAGAAAACATAACACCCAGAAGATGCAAATGGTCCACTCAAAATACTAATATATTTATATTTGATCTACACAGATCAAATTGCCGTGTATTAAATAAATACTTTCCTTGCGCTGATAAAATGATGTATGTATTTCGATTTTTACAAATCGATATGTAATGCAAGCAATTTAATATCATTATTTACATTGTTCGAACTGTTGTCCTCATCTTTATTGCTACATTCCCGACGTTTCGGCCGTTGTACGCTCCGGCCTCCTTCAAGTTAGAAGTTCTGAATATGGCAATGAAGATGAGGGCAACAGTCCGAACAATGTAAGTAAAGTAAATAATTACAATACCTCATCTAAGAAATATAGACAGAGCCAGAAGAAGGCCGAAGAGTATAACGACGGAAACGTCGTGAATATGGCAATGAAGATGAGGACAACAGTCCGAACAATGTAAGTAAAATAAATAATTACAATACCTCATCTAAGAAATATAGACAGATATTAAGCAAATTTGTTTGCATACTAATTAAGTTGTATTGGGGCGTTTTCGTGTACTATGAAGATTTTATCAGAAAGTCGTTCTGGAGACAAAGGTTCGGCGTTACGGCAATATTTCTAGAAAAATTGTTTCTTTTACTGTCTATATTTCTGAGATGAGGTATTATGTACACTATTGTCTTCATCTTTGTCGCCATGTTTATTACAACGTTTCGGCCATTGTACGCTCCGGCCTTCTTCAGGTGGTTGGAATGTCGAACTGAACCCTTTATTTCGCTCACTGGGGTAGACTGTTCTAGTTCCACGTGCCGTGTCTAATGGATGTCAGTTATCTCCTGTTAATTCCCCTCTGCAAGTTCTGCCTTAACTGGGTATTGAATAAACAACTCTTTGGGTCCTGTCACTGGATCTAACCAACGCCTTTATCCACTGTGACAGGTGTTCTTGAGGACATCTGGGCATGAATTTCTGGGTATTATATTGTCTTCAGCAACCATTTTTACATGTGCTCATGTTGCAATTTTTTGCTTTTATCATTGCATGTTTTGTACCAGAGCTCATATTGTAATCTTTGTTGTTATTATCACTTTTCTCTGGCACTCCTAATTACTGGCTCACATATTGTATTCATTTCTATGCTTGGTCGGCTCAAGAGATTTTTGTGGCCTAGCATATGTGCTGATTCCTTAATTTTACGAATTTTCCAATGGTGTTCTTTGTTTATGATCTCAACCTGATCCCACAGAGGGCGGTGATCTCCTTTTCTCTCCATGTGTGGTCAGCCACGCTTGATTTTTCCACTTCCCCTCGTGTTACAGATTTCTGGTGTTCTTGAAGTCTTGCCTTAAGGAGGCGGCCTGTCTCCCCTTTATATTTCTTTCCGCAGCTGCACGGGATGGCGTACACACAGTCTTTAGTCA